ATTTAGTTTTAAAAAAGTTTATGTACAAAAAATATGTCATTGCGTTTTGTTACTTCATTATACATCTTAATAACTTTCAATTTTCAAAAATATAATATTATGTTAAAAACGCTATACATAAATAAGAAATTAAATACTTTTGATTATACGGCGGAATAAGAACTAAATCCATGAGTTCAAATACTTGTTTAAAAGTTAAACCCTCATTTTTTGTATCAAAATGAACTTAAATTGAAATTATTTTAAATAAGAACATAATCTCATAAAAAGAGCTTTATCAATTTACGTATTATCCATAAAATCTTATTTATGATGTATGAGGGATTAAAATTTGAATCAGATATATTTAATGAACCCTTTGTTTTAACCGCGCAGCCGGTTTCAAATCAAGTTTTTTGTATTCATATAGATTAAATAATTGTTAAGTAAATCTAACTCCTACATCTCAGACAATGACTCCCTAGAGTTTCCAGCGAAAAGGGTAAATCGCATTTTTCGCATTTCGTTCGCTCGAGCAAAATGCAAAAAATTTTGAGAAAAAACAAATACGAAAATATCTGGGGTGGGGATGCAAAAATGTTTCGAAAAAAATACGGGAAAGAAATTATAAATTGTCATATAATAAAACTTATAATGCTGAGTTTTTTTGCACAATAAATTGAAAATTTTGCGAAAAAGTTTGCGAGATACGAACGAAAATTTTCTCATTTTTCGCGAAACTTTTCGTTCCCTAAAACACTATGACCCTCCCCCCCCCATCTTCCTCGAGATAGCCTTGTTATACACATGTCATTTCGCTGTCTCAACTCATGTCTATTTAGTTAAGGTCTGCAAAGCAAAACACTGCAAAAATCTTTACAAAATATTAGTTTTGCTTTGCAATAAGACAAACTAATCTAGGTGTATCCTTGCAAAGTATTTATTCAACTTATTCAAGAGAAAATAGAAAAACTTTGGGCTTTGTGAAGACACAATGGATTTCAGACTGGGCAAGCTTTAAAAAGATCTGGTAAATATGTATAGAGATGAATTTATGTATATTTGTATATTAGATACATAAAAAATTATAATATTCATATTTCATATGAATAATGAATATGTATCTAGGCGACACAACGATTATGTCTATACAATACAATCTTTTATGTGCACTGTATGTGTACATTGATAAGTCATAAAAATGGCAAAAATGTTTTAAATACAAGAAGGAAAGTGAGACTGAGAGAGAGAGAGAGCTATTATAAAAATGTTTGTGTGTGGGCCAAGCTAACGTTTTTTATTGAATGTTCTTGAAGTTTATGTTTGTTTGATCAATTTGACAGTTTGAAGTATAATTCAGTTTAAATTATCATGTCAGAACAAGACACGAGAGACAACTAGCCAGACACAAAAACGATACAAATATACAACACACAGGGTGGACAAATAAAAATGTATTTACAGGATGTCCTTGGAAAAAATACCAGTGTACAAACTGATAAGCAAACAGAGTGTCAACGCAAAGAAGTATTGAATGTAAATACATCTTCAGGTTGTCAAAATAAAAACTACAATGTTACAAAATTCATAAAACGACGGTATAAAAAAGTATTAGAATATATACAGAGTGTGAAATTAAAAGTTACAAGGTGTATAATTCAGTAATACAAATATATATAAAATATAAAAATGGTAAAATAAATCACAAGCTAAGGTTTGAATAAATGAGTAAAACTCCAAACTGCAGCTATTGAGTAAACATATTAAGATCTGATAATAAATACATTTTTCTAACACACCCTGTACATTCATTTCACAGCCGTCAAACATGTTTATACAAGTTTAAACCAAAGTTTGATCATTTCCTAATTTTACCAGCATCAGACTTCAGACGGGCATAAAGGAGGATGGGATGGAGGGGGTTCTTTTATAATGGAGGCTTGGGGGAGGGGGTTCTTTTATAATGGAGGATCGGAGGGAGGGGGTTCTTTTATAATAGAGGATCGGAGGGAGATCTTTTATAAATAACTCTTTTTATATTTTATATTTTTAAATTTTAAATCGGTCTTTTATATTCTCTTTTTTCGATTCTTTCTTTCATCATTTCTAGTTTCATCAACATTACTCCCATCTCTTAGATTTCTTTTTTAAATTTCGGGTTTTTTTCTGGAGTTTCGGGTCTTTAACTTCCTAATTTTCTGGAGTTTCGGGTCTTTAACTTCCTAATTTTAAAAAAAAATTTCTTTTTCCTTTAAAATCAATTTTAATTTTTCAAATTTATCATTTTCTTCTTTTTCTAGTTTTGATTTTTTTCAAAATTTTTAATTGTGATTTTTTTCTTTTACTTATTTTTTACTATTATCTTTCTTCTCTGTACAGTTTTATTTGTTCAAATATTTAATTATTCCTTTTGATAATTCATTTTTTACACTTTTAAAAAATCTAAGTCATAAAATTTTATCCTTCTTCCAATGTGAAACGGTGCACATGATACATAATGAATGCATAATGTACGTACAATGTACATACCTGAATGTAATCGTGAACTGATGTTTTTGGTTCGGTTTATCACAAACTGCTACTACCCTGGGATCCTCCTGAAGGATTCTACAGCTCTCGTACTCATCCTAATAATAAGTTCAATTATAAAATATGAAAATTATTTTGAAAATATTATGTTTAGTTCAAAAAAATTAAAATTAGTTCAAAAATATTATATCTGAGTAGTTATTGAAATTTCTATCATATTATTTTTAATCATTATTGTTATTTTTTAAGTTATATTTATCCTAATTGGTCGAATTATTAACTCAAAAATATGAAAATTAAAACATTAAAAAAATATAGAACGCTATGTATTATCAGAGACCAGATTTAATGAACAGCAAGAAGTTGCTGAACTGCGCGCACGTAGTTCAACCACTTCTCTGGTGTGTTGGTTCAAGCTAGAGAAGTGGTTGAACCGAGTTTTTGCGGTTCAATCTTATCTTTACATTAATTAATTCTGGTCCCTGGCAAAATTTTATGGATTATAATCAAAGAGATTAGAATTAAAGTGGAATTTACTAGAAAAAAGTGTAAACCGGCCATTTTGTTGTACTGTTTCCATACTGCATAGCTACATAGCCTTTTGGGCCCTGGAACATCATTTATAGAAAATCTAAAATTAATATTCAAAGAAAACCAAATTATGAAATAGGCTGGTTTCATAATTGACCAATGATCATTTCACATAGACTCTATGCCTTTCACTTTACAAACAACGATTTTCCGTTATAACTATAAATCAATGATGTTTTTATACACACATAACACATTATAAAGTTTATTTAACAGCTTTAAAAAATTCGAAATTGAAATGGATAGTCTAGGGAACATACTGTATTAATGTACTCGACTGCATATAATTTGTGAACATTTACATGATTTGTACACTTTGAACTCCCTTTCAGGCTGAAAGGGACTGAAAAAATTCATACCGAAGGATTGTCTAAATTCCACTCTAATATATATTCTATTTTCTTTGATTATAATTCATATTTAATGTGAAACTTATTTTATTGTTAAAATTTAATAGTTTATAGTTAATTGTAATTCATGTATTGTTCTGTAAATTAATCTGATCTCAGTAAAATGTTAATTTAGAAACAACTAAAATTTTTTTGTTCCATGTTGAAGCATGCATGGAAAGTTCCGATTTTACAAGAACTATACATATTAAATCAAAGATTAATGTTTAATGTCGCATATTTTTTCGAAATATCTAAATAAATTTAAACTACACACCATTATAAGTATTAATATTCTTCTTATGATTGTCTTTGTTATTGTAATTGTAATTGCAATTTATTCTTTTCTTGCTATACAGCATATGATTCCTGTTACTATTTTGTATATTAGATACATAAAAAATTATAATATTCANTGTTATTGTTATTGTTATTGTTATTGTTATTGTTATTGTTATTGTTATTGTTATTGTTATTGTTATTGTTATTGTTATTGTTATTGTTATTGTTATCGTTATCGTTATTATTTTTGTTATTGTTATTGTTATCGTTATTATCATTGTTATTGTTATTGTTATTGTTATTGTCATTGTTATTGTCATTGTTATTGTTATTGTTATTGTTTTTGTTATTGTTATTGTTATCGTTATTGTTATTGTTATTGTTATTATTATTGTAATTGTTATTGTTATTTTTATTGTTTTGTTATTGTTATTGTTATTGTTATTATTATTATTATTGTTATTGTTAATGTTATTGTTATTGTTATTGTTATTGTTATTGTTATTGTTATTGTTATTGTTATTATTATTGTTATTGTTAATGTTATTGTTATTGTTATTGTTATTGTTATTGTTATTGTTTACCTGTGACACATTATAAATGATATATTTCTCCTTCTCCTCGTCATGTACCCGTGTACCGTTGTACCAGGGACAGATTAGGTTTACTTGGTCGTACTCCCACGGCATGTTACCCTGTACAACAGTACATAATTACAGGGATATATATTTGGAAATAAATAAGTTAAAAAAATTCTTCAACCCCAGTATTTTAGTCAAATTTCTGATCAAGGCTCATTGGGAATAAATAACTTAAGAAAAAATATCAAAATATCCAATCATTTCACTTAATTAATTAAAAATACCCTGCAGATGGGTGAACCCCCCCCCCTCCCTTCTCTTCTGGAGGGAGTGATTATTTAAATAATAATTAAAAAATATAAGAAAAAGAAAATGTCTAAATAGTGAATACATCGTGTGTGTTCTGATCGAATTAAATATCTATGAGGTTCGAACTTTTGTATGAAACAGCGCTAATTTACCATGCCTTTAATTTCAATCGATTAAGTGCTTAATGTGTTTAAAAATCTCTCTTTAGTCGAGAATATAGTTTTAGAGATATTCAAAAGGACTAAGCTAAGTTTGACAGACTTTCAATAAAAGAAACGGATTAACGATTAACAATTCAAAAATTACAACCTCTAATAGTTAAAAAATTGAAATAGATTACAAAGACATTCAACTTTAATTTGATTACTAGTGAATAGTAGAAATATATGTATATGGCGGGATTTTCTCTATCCTGTGTTATTAAACATAATAAATTTTGTACTTTATATAAAATAAAATTTTGTACTTTTTATACAATACACTTTTGTACTTTTTATACAATAAAATTTTGTACTTTTTATACAATAAAATTGTGTACTTTTTATACAATAAACTAAAGCATAAAAAATTATCTAAAATAAAAATTAAAACAAATTTTATGTCAATTTGCCTAACTTAATATCCATAATATTTTCATGTACAATTTCTAAATTTCCCCCATTTTTTTCTAAATAATCCCTAGGGATTATTTAGAAAAATAAGATCCACCTTAATTCCATGCATTTAAGAAAATATTGTTTTGATTGCGCATTTTCTTGGCAAATTTTGTGAATTTTGCGTTATCAAAAAAAAATTTATTTCATGAAAATATTTTTTTCATTTGAAATTTAAAATTTATTCTTAACACATCCCAAATAGATGGTATGTGATCGCAATGTGACATAAAATTACTAATGTACTGACAATTTAGAGGTCAAACATGTCTCACCCATGTAAAATATCCCTTGAATATAAACCATTAGATACTTGTCCCGCAAAAAAAAAAAAAATATCCCGCACTTTCTAAATCAGCCGTACATTAATAGTTAAAACACTAATTATGTTTAAAAGAAAAGTTAGAAATGCCTAAAATTCCTACTTCAGATGAACAAAACTTAAAATGTTACTTTTACGTCAATTTCGACAAAATAAAACAAATTGTTTGAAAATACAAAATATATTTTCAATGTGTTACATATCTTTGTCAGTTTGTATGAGTTGAACTAACATTTATTTAAACTGTTCGCAGCGTATTAAAATATACTGACGCTTTTTGGTATATATAAAACGTATTTTGACGCTTTTCTCTGTTTTATGCACATATATAAGGCTGCAATTACATAGACCAATCTTATGCCAATAAAATTGCACGTATTTTCAAATTAGGAAATTGTTGCGTGTTCAAAATTTGCAAGATTCTTTGTTGTTTTAAATTAAAAAGTATGTGTTTAGTTTAAAACTTGTATTATGTATAATCAAATCTTTACTTCTTAGCATCGTGGTGAAATTTTTTGATTACAAATAAATCATCAAATATTAAAGTAAAATTTTTTTAAATGACACTACTTTCAACACTTTTGGTGCTTGGAGAAAAATGTAATTTCAACTAATTAAATTTTAATGAGGTATTTCAATTTCTGAATTTTGAATTTTAAAATTTTAAAATCTAGAAGTTACTGTGAAGTTACAATGTGAAGAAATAGTATTGTTGTAATGATGATTCTAATCTACAAATGATGAGTATTTGCCACAAAAATCAGAGTTTGAGAGAAAAATTCGATTCTTTAACTTACTTCTGTAATGGTAAATACGGCTTTTTTTTGAAATCGATAATTTAGGCTTTTGTAAAAATGCATGGCGCTTCGAGTTACCTGGTTCACATCCAGTATATGATCTGTGTTATCAATCCTAAACATAGGATTAGAACTGTTCCAGTGGATTATATGAACCCTGACACTGGAGCTAGGACGGAGAAGGATAAGGACGAGAGCTAGGACTCTAGGTAGACCCGGATACATCTTCAACACTCATCCCAGTCCTTTCATCCACCCTATCTCCGGGTTCTATCAGGTTTAGGTGGCTAGGTTCAGTGAGTTCAGGCAGGTGGTACTTTTCAGCTCCGGGTTCAGCTCCAGATAGGTTCTGCTCCATGATGGAGCAGGAGCAGGGGCATGCTGATCACATTGCTGGATCCTGAAATAAAAGGAACTGAATACTCGCCACGAATTATTATTACAATCTTAGCAAAGTGATGCCGTGGACCTTTAATTATTCAAACTATGAATTCTTTAAAATCTAATATTCAAAGTTTATAATATCAATTATCAACATCAGGTTGCAAAAAACATAAGGAGTAGAAAATTAGATTTTTCTCGAGTGTTAANCCCCTCCTTCATTTTATTTGGTACAAGTCTTTTCATCTTTTTTATTGCAAGATTTAACAGGCTTTAAATAGTTATGAAATTAGATCCGATCTTAAATAGAATAAAACAATTTTGGAAATTTAATCACCAATTACACATTTCTAAAAAAATCAAACAGAGCTGTATCTTCACATTGTCGAATATAAACTCTTTACACATCAGCTTAAATGGACAGAGTCCGAAATTAATGAATTTGAGCCGCGTCTCAAATCCGCCAAAAAACCGGGTTCATTAAACGCCTGCTTAAATCTTGAAATATTGGATAGAATTTTAAGTGGAACCAACCATATTTGAGCCGAGTCTCAAATTTATCCTCAATTTGAAGACACCCAACGCCAATTAACAATATTACCCAGAATCTTTTTCTAATTAATTATATAGTTAAAATATCGTTGTTTTAGCTTGAAAAACGTTTAATTTTACCAATATCCTTCATTGTTTCTGAAGACCACAATTAAAAGTGATAAATTTATTTAAAGAGGAAATTTTGATTATCATACGCAATCTTAATCAGACAGAGCTTTTAAGGTTCCCGTTGTTAATCGGCTCATTAAATTTTTTTTAGTAAACTAGGTTTGAGGCTACTTTTACCACATACAAATCCGAGTCAGATGTCCCATGTCCCGTGTCAGATGTCCCATATCCCGTGTCAGATGTCCCATATCCCGTGTCAGATGTCCCATGTCCCGTGTCAGATGTCCCATATCCCGTGTCAGATGTCCCATGTCCCATACTATACGAACCTTTCCGCATGTCCCGATGACTGCAATGTCGATGTTCTTTGTCCCATTACAGATGTCCCAATTCAAATGTCCCATGTCTCATTTTAGATGTCCCATTTCAGATTTACTAGATCAATTGTCCCGTGTCCCATGCCAGATGTTCCCAGTTCAATGTCAAATGTCTCTTATATCCCATGTCCCATGTCCCATGAACCATGTACAGTTAATTTCTAAAGGTAGTGTGTGTATATACATATCATATACACTGTATTATGTATAATGTACGGATTTATTGTATATGTAGATATATATGTCTGCCCTGCGTAACGGAATTTTAATTGAATACTTTTTGTAGGGTAGGTTTGAGCTAATTGTTTGTTTGCTTGTGGGTCGGTCAAACCTTTTTATAATGTCAGAATTATTTAATTCTATTTCAGTGACATCCATCATGTTGGGTTTTTATGGGTAAAAAGTTTTCTAAAACTGGTTTCGGAAAACAAATCGTTTCTTTTAAAAAGGCGAATTTGAATAAGTTTTCTTGGTCATTTTTTTCCTTTCAAAGACTTTACTAATTCTAAAGGAGCGTTTTCGAAAATTTTCTTTAAAAAAATATAGAGCTTTTCTAAAATGTATTTTTTTTTTGCCAAAACACCTGTAGATAAACGAGCGAAGAACAGACTTTTAATCTAAAACTCAACTTATTTCCTTAAAAATAAAGCAAACTTTTTTTTTGTTGTTAAATCATAAAAGATACAGAATGACAATAAAATTCGACGTGACATGAGTGACATGAATTTCTGCGAGGATTAAGATTGCAAGTACCGAACATATGTTTTCAGAGCTGAAAACTTTAAAATTGCTCACATCGAGAGCAATTATCCATCCCCTCTTTTTGTTAATCTTAAAGTTATTTAACCTTTAGTTTGTATCTAAAAAATTGTGTCTAAAATTTAACCAATCAGAATCCGAAACAGCCAATAAGATGCCAGAAAATTCAAACTTTTACGCACCATTTAATGAGAGAACTTTCATTGGTTGGAATGTATCCAAAAAGAGAGAGAAAAAATGAGCGGATATAGCATCAATCCAAAAGTGTACACAATGGATATCCAGATTAAGCGATCGGTATCCGATTCTAAAGTTTTCAGCTTAGGAGATTTTTTCGGAAGAAAACGTGAAAATATTATTGAAAAATAGTAATCTTCTTTTATATTTTTGTTTCCGATCAGAACTCATAAAACCCTTTAATTAATTAGTCTAACAATTTCCATCGGACGACTATTTAGAACCTAGGGTTGGTGTTTTCCATTTTTCAGATAAAATAAAATTTTGGCTTTTAACGAAATTTTGAAAAAATCTTATATATATTTACTGCTGCAGAGTCAAGATTTTTCAAATGTAATAAAAATTAGAGAATACAATTGAGGAATATTCTTAACTTATAGTTTGCATTAAAGGTTGACTTTTATATGTGAAGGTAAAACTAAATCAGGGAAAGGAAGGTACTGGGCATCCACTCTAAAATTGGCATGATCCGAGCCGGTACAACATGTACATTAGGTCGTACCGTCCAGACTGGACTACCCAGTGTAAAGTCGACCCAGCACGTTTTATGCAACTAATGTAGTCTGGCAAGATCATAGTGCATGGGACTGTTCTTTAGGTGGAGAAAAAATTATATTTTCAGGCAAACTAATATCTGACACACACATAAAAAATTCATTTTTTTCAAACAACATAAAATGATAAATGTTCTTAATTGTTTTGGAAACTCAAAATATTTGATAACAATACACGGAGAGGGAGGAAACCAAAATATTTGATAACAATACATGAGTAGAGGAGTAGAGGAGTAGAGGAGTAGAGGAGTAAGGATGTAGGATAGGGTCATATGAAATTCAAAAATGTACACCTCTAGACTGAATGAAATTAGATACACACACTTTACTTTTTCAACTTACAAGGTAATCCCTTATTAATAGAAAAAAAAAACTAATTTGCTTAAAATAATCCAAAATGTGTTTGAAAACTTTAAACACAATAGTTTCAGAAATAAGAGACATTGGTTCCAAAAAAAGAGTTGATTTTTTTTGAAAATTGCATTTATATTCGCGCTTACCTTCTGCTAAATGATACTTAATTGTCGGAGTATTTATTTTTATGTATGTATATTATTATGTAGAATCACTAATTTTCGTTGTAACTATACGCATGTTAGACTTGTAACAACTGGTATTTTTAAATGTTTATGTTATATAACTAGTATTCTTTTGCATACATATTTTAAAGCACTAAAGCTATATTAGGCTCTCATCCCGGCTCAAGTTGAACTAAACAAGCTCAGCGGCTTGGCTTTAAATCCCGCCGCCGGCCCGTCTCATTCCGACAGGAAATATGTAGAGGGAAATCAAAATTGAAAAAACCGCGAAACCTCGCCGAAGAATGCGCGATCTGCCACGCGTCCCGGGCTCGCTAGACGAGTGCTGTTGCGAATTGAAACCATAAATTTAGTTTAGGACACAATGGGTCGAGTGTAATCCCAAGATAGAGGGTTATATAATCAACCCTCTCTATATACCACACCCGTATATACTCGGATACAGATGTTTTAAGAAAAGCTTTGAAAGGGACTGTATAGTGTATAGGTCATTAAGCTACTCTCCATTTATAAATTGGCATGTCCTATTCACAAACCACCGGTTCATTTCTAATCATAATTCCATAATCCATAATTTGTTTTAATCGATAATTTTCAATTATGGTTTCTTGCTCTATAAAAGTGACTAGTGAATTGCTCCAATTTCATTTATAACATAAGGAAAATTTATGCAACATTAGTGGTATGACTCTGTGATCTTTTATAGTTCGTATTTGGATTATACATGCCAAAGTATGAGAAAGACAAAGAGATTGAGTCTTTGTCACAAACTCTGATTTTTTAATCCCTATATCTTTGCATCTCTATGTCGAAGACCTTAGAAATTTCATACTATCAATTCTGTTTGATCAAGTTACCTAAGTTCAAAATATCAAAGATTTGCACCATCAAGTTGCAAAGATATAGGGATTAGACAATTTGAGTTTGTGGCAAAGACTCAATTCCTTTTATTGGTTTCATATTATAATTTGTCACTTTTGTATTCTTACAAAACTTTTCAGAACATTGAGAACTTATTATTGAAATCTTGAGCGATTTTAGATTAACATAAATTTATTTTGATTTGACATGAGAATTTTTCTGCAGAAACAATGAAGGAAATTGCAAGAATTTAACATCATTCCAGCTAGAAAAACGACAATATCTTCCCTAAAGGGAATCGGGATGCCTAGGAAGGCTTTTTTACAATTGCAAGAGCATATAGAAATGTTCCACTAATACAAAAACAATTTTCATAATTGGAATAATATCGGAAACCTCTTTTCATTGCCCCCCCCCCTTTCTGATGTTTCATCGGAGATCCTCGAAACTTACCACTTTTTCTGGATACAGTATTGGAGTGTTTCCAAGGAAAAAGTGTCACTGTATTAGTATTCCGATGATGATGTTTTTCTATTATTAATACAAATATCAAATTTTAATTTTTTTTCATTTCATTTCTGTACTTAATACTTTAAGTTTTATTCAATGCTTTCAATATATTCGTTTTTGAATTTATTTAATATATTTTATATTTGATACCCTAGAGGGATAGAATATTCAACTTGATTTTAATCAGAACAGAAAGAATAATTCGTCCCAGCTTCGCTCAAATTCGTTTTACAATCGAACCTCAATAGCTATTTCTTTCCACACATATTACTGTAGATACTAAAATATTTTATACTGTAGATACTAAAATATTTTATTTCTACTGTAGATACTAAAATATTTTATAATAATCTAGCTAAGAATGTATTATAAAGATAAAGACCCCAAGATACCGTTGTTTACGCTGGACGAACAACGTCTCAAAACATATAGAAAAAATTTCTAAAATTTTTTTTAATTTAAATGTACAATGCAACAAAAAAGTCTAATCTAAAGTTTGATTAAAAAAGATATTAAAAGTACAATTTTTTATAATTGGACCAAAAAATTTGGACATGCGTGGTCCATCTACACAGTCCAGGTGGTAACCCTACCCTCCACACTATTATAATATTTAGTATACAATATAAAGTCTATAAAATCCCGTCTTTAACTGATTAAAGTAATGAAAATACAGCCATGAAACTAGACTGGGTCGTCTTTGAAGTGTCGCCATGAATAGGTCTGAACTCTCCGACTGTTACAGTTTTTTTGTAGGTACAACAATTTCTGGGCAGAAAACTGTGTCACGGACAGCCGAGCCGAGCCGGGTCAACCTGTCCGGTCCCAGTTTGTACTATACCTAGCTCTATGGACGGGACTAGGCGGTGCAACAAGGTTGACGTGGTCAGACTTTATGCTTTATAAAGGTTGAATTTACTTTTACTAAAGGGGCAGATTTGCGTGATGTGTCTCTAGCTTCAGTTTTGATTGGACAATTGACAAAATATGGAATGCAAATATTTTTGTTTCCAGTGTACCTGGTTTAATAAGTTTTTGTTATTGTATAGTTCAACCCAAAATTCTAATACAAAAAGAATACCTAATATGAAAATACAGTGAGAACCAGAAAAATGTGGAATAGGAGGACGACATTATCGCAATACTTTGAGATTTTAATGATGTTACAAAGCTAGCAATACAGTTTTAATTGTGAATTATTAGAACATGTTTATTAATTAAAATGGGTCAGTTTACACTTGTACAATTGTTGCGTCTCATGTTCGTTAGACTATTTAGAGTTATAACTTGTGGTTCTCTCTGGCTGTTTATATATATTCGTATTAAAAGCAATAGACAAGTTATAAATGTTTTCTAAAATAATCTAGATAAAGCCTGCCTTAAATTAAAGTTATGTACTAGTTAATAATTTAATTATCTTAATAAATAATATATTTAATTATTGGCAAGCGCTTAAACTATCTAAGCCACCAAGTCTAGGGCGTTATTTCCAATTAATATATTTTTATGCCCAAAGATGATTATTAGATAAACATATCTAACCAGGACAAAACATGTGCAAGTTTATTGTTTTAATTATCAAAACTTGTGTTTTTGAATTTTTATTTATAGGATGCAATAAAAACATTGGTTTGTATGTCTTTTTGAAACCGGCATTGTTTTTTGAAAACTATTTTCAAAAATATTATTTTATATTTTTAATATGTTTTTTTTTAACAAGTTTACGTTTCCTGACAAATATTGCCTTTTTTTCGTTCACAAACATTTGCAAAAATATATATTTCGTTTTAAAGCCATAGTTTTATAGCCATGGTTTTATAGCCATAGTTTTATAGACATAGTTTTATAACCATCGTTTTATAGCCATCGTTTTATAGCCATTGTTTTATAGCCATAGTTTTATAGCCAAAGTTTTATAGGCATAATTGTATAGCCATAGTTTTATAGCATTAGTTTTATTTCTATAGCCATAGTTTTACAGCCAT